AGAGAGAAGAGAGAGAGGGAGAGAGAGAGAGAGGAGAGAGGAGGGGGGGGGGGGGGGTAGGGAGGGGGGGGGGGAGAGAGCAGAGAGGAGAGAGAGAAGAGAGAGTAGAGAGAGAGAGGAGAGAGAGAGAGAGAGTAGAGAGAGAGAGAGAGAGAGAGAGGAGACGGGGGGGGGGGAAGGAGGGCAGGGCGTCAGGGGGGGGAGAGAGGAGAGAGAGAGAGAAGAGGAGACGAGAGAGATGAGAGAAGAGAGAGAGAGAGCGGAAGAGAGAGAGAGAGAGAGGAGTAGAGAAGGGGGGGGAGGGGGCAAGAGGGGGCGAGGAGGGAGGGAGGGAGAGCAAAGCGAAAGGGAGGCGAGGAGACGAGAATCCAAAAAAAAGAGGGGAGAGAGAGAAGAGAGAGAGAAGAGAGAGAGAGAGAGAGAGAGAGAGAGAGAGAGAGAGAGTAGGGGAGGGAGGGAGGAGGGAGGGAGGAGAGGGAGGGAGGGAGGGAAGGGAGGGAGGGGGGAGGGAGGGAGGGAGAGAGGGAGAGAGGGAGAGGAGAGAGGGAGAGAGAGGAGAGAGAGAGAGCGAGAGAGAGAGAGGAGAGAGAGAGAGAGGAAGAGAGAGAGGAGAAAGAGGAGAGAGAGAGAAAGAGGAGAGAGAAAGGAGAGAGAAAGAGGGAGGGAGGGAGGGAGAAAGAGAGAGAGAGAGAGAGAGAGAGAGAGAGAGAGAGAGAGAGAAGAGAGAGAGAGGAGAGAGAGAGAGAGAGGAGAGAGAGAGAGGAGAAGGAGAGAGGAGAGAGAGAGGAGAAGAGAGAGAGAGAGACGCAGAGAGAGAGAGAGAGGAGAGAGAGAGAGAGAGAGAGAGAGAGAGGAGAGAGAGAAGAGAGGAGAGAGGGAGAGAGAGAGAGAGAGAGAGAGAGAGAGAAAGAGAAGAAAAGAGTGATTGGACATTAGTTGTGGTAATTTGAATAGAACTTGATATAATTACATATATACATGTATGAATATAAAAAAAAATATGCATATACAATTCACACATGCATACATTCTTCCATACAAACGTACACACACTCATGCATACGAACACTAAAAATAGACTTAATGTTCACTTCTAAGTATACAAACACTAAAAATAGACTTCACTTCTAAGTATATCAAAATTACACACTTATGGTTAAAATATCACACTGCAGCAGTTTCTTCAAATTCCACCGTTCTTCCCCCATCGGAATTATTCATGTGCACAACATTTTTAAGGAAGAAGAAGAATTGCGAACAAAGGAGGAAATGCCAGATGAATGGTGAAGCCCTTCGCTGAATCGAGAAGGCGCTGGATGGCACGAAAAGCGTATAATGGCATTCATGTTGACCGTTGGCGAGTGCCACTGGGAGACACGGAATACTTGGTCTACGCGGATGACGCAATGGTGGCAGTGGATTCTTCAAACACTGTATTATGCGCCCATCTTTATATATGTATACGCACACACACACACACACACACACACACACACACACACATATATATATATATATATATATTATATATATATATATATATATATATATATATATGTATGTATATATACATATTGTGTGTATGTATATATTTACTTATGTATGATATATATAATATATTACATGTACACACACACATATACATACATACATACATATATATATATATATATATATATATATACATATATATATATATATAACATATATATATATATGTTTGTGTATATATATATATATATATATATATATATATATATATATATATATATATATATATATATATATATATATTATGTACATACACACACACACACATAAATATATAAGTATAAATATAAATATATACATATACATATATATATATATATATATATATATATATAGATATATATATATGTATATATATACATATACATATATACACACACATATGCATATACATATGTTTATCCCCATATATGCGTTTTGGCGCTCCAACTCCTAATCCCCATTCCCCATTGAATCCGAGAGTGCTCATCGGCTGTGATCCCCACAGTGACCGCGAGGGAGCCGGAGGAGGGACTCGGATAACTTGTTAGAGTCAGATCACACACTTTACCCTCGTTAAGTTGTTTAATAATTTGATAGTTAATACTTTTTCCATTTTGCTTCAAAACAAATGAACAAATCTGTTACATTTTTTGGTTATCTCTCAGATTTCTCCAAGTAAATTGATACATAATTCATAGCTTTCGATAAAGTATCACATAAACAGCATTAAAGATAACACGCATATATTGCATCAGTGCAGAAACCTCAAAAGCAAGACTCTTACCCGAAATTCGCACTTTAATTCACAGTAAGTCCATGCGTCATTATGAATGGTTGACGTCAAGCCTTTTTTCCCCGACAAGTCTTCCTGTGAACCGCCAACCACCGCAATAACAATGGCAAATTCTATCGAAACAGGAAATCGCTCACTTGACCTTCTTGGTACTGTTATTATCTTAATGATCTCTCTCCTTCAAAACGGACAGATTATTGGGGAATCACGAGCACTTTACCGACAAGCAGGAAGTTTAGTCACTGTGCCTACCTGCTCTTTGTTATTCACGCGTTCGGTTATCAAAACATTACTCGCGCTAAACCACCGAGCGCGCAAACTCCAAACAAACAAAATAATAATCCTAACTACATACTTATACGACCGCCATCTTTTCGAATTAGCTGTATCGAGCAATCTTCCTCGATAAAATGACATAGAAGAAATAAACACAGACAGCTATGTAAATCGATGCCAGAGTCAAGAACATGGACCGGGACGAGACCGCGGCAGTGCCAAGTAGCGTTGCCAAGCCCTCAGGTGAGACATAGAAAACGGAGGACCACCAAAGCCATCGTGACTTTTTCTCTTACATAAACCATAATGCAAAATTTAAAGAGGGAATTAAATTAAATTAAAGATCACATCAAACATGGTCATGAATACAACCAAGAATGCAAAGAAATGTTCCGATTAAAACAGAGCATAAATAAGACAAGTATAGGGTGTTGTTATCAGATTGAAGGGATGCGATGTATAAAAGGCGACTTCTTTCACAAATATAAGTGGATGACTTAGCATTTTCGTTTATCAAGAGGCTTTAGTGCACGAAATGACGGTAATGATTGGGATATATATATATATATATATATATATATATATATATATATATATATATATATATATATTATTATATGTACACATGTATATAGATATCGATATATGTATACACACACATGTATATATATATATATATATATATATATTATATATATATATATATATATATACTTATATATATGTACACATGTATAATATCGATTATATGTATATATATATATAATATATATATATGTACTTATATATATATATGTACATATGTATATATATATGTATATATATATATATATATACACACACACACATATATATATATATAGATATATACATATATATTATATATATAATATAATATATATAGATATATATATATACATATATAATATACATACATATATATTATATTATATATTGTTTATATATATATATATATATATATATATATACATATATATATATATATATATATATATAATATAATATATATATATATATATATATATATATATATATATATATATATATATATATATATATATATATGCACGTATATTGATACACATCTATTAGTGTAAATATATTCATAGATATACATATATATACACATATATACTCACACATACATACACGCACACACACACACACACACACAACACACACACACACACACACACACACACACACACATACACACACACACACACACACACACATATATATTATACATATATATATACATATATATATATATATATATATATACATATATATATATATATATATATATATATATATATATATATATATTATATATATATATATATATATATATATTAAGTGTGTGCGTGTGTGAATGCGCGTGTTATGTATAACTCCCGGTAAATAAATCTTTTTAATCAAGATAAGAGTTGCAATGATATAGTTCCTTGCTTTGTAATGGTTACCAATGTCTTCATTATAATTTCTTACAATTACTGACGTTTGGAACCAGTCAGATGCGCTATTCTATGTATTCGATCTCGCATGCAATTTCGTCATTGCTAACACTATTATTAATCCATAAATTAACACTGTTTTCATTTTTTATCACCGGACACGTGAGGTTTCTGTAAACTGTTCGATATTATTACAATACAATTACAAGAATATTTTTTTGCGATTAGCGTTGTATAACTGGGATTTTCAAACCATTTTAAGATCAACATTATATTGATGTTTAACTTTATTCACCGCATACATGCATATATATCTATATCTATATCTGTCTATCTATATCTGTCTATCTATCTATCTATCTATCTATCTATCTATCTATCTATCTATCTATCTATCTATCTATCTATCTATCTATCTATCTATCTATATATATATATATCTGTGTGTGTGTATTTATATATACACAAAGTAAAGAAACAGAAGATGTTGCATAACTGGAAACAAACATAGGATAACTGAAATAACGCCTTCGCCAGTTCCCGCCCAAAATCTTCCAGTGAGCAGCCAACCTGCACCGCGTCCCCCCCCCTCCTCCTCCGGTTGAAGGGCCTCGTTCGGGCGCCAGGGACTCGGGCTGGTTCCTCTCGGGGCGCCGCGGCAAAGCGAGCGATGAAGACCCTCTGCTATGACCTCTTCCCTCCACTCGATGCCTGTCGCTCGTTCAGGTCCTGCTGATTCCTCGTCCCTTGGTTTTAAGGATACTACAACAGACTTATTTCTTGCGATGGTTGTGTCTGACTTGGCCCGCAGTGGTTCCGTCTGCGTCCGAGTGGATGGGAAGCAAGGGTCCACTCCGCCACCTGTCATTGTCAAGGTCCACCTCAAGAGGCATTTGAGGGAGAATCCAGCGCTTCTGTCCGTTATCGATGGTAAGTGAAATAATCATCGTTACTTGCTCATTATTGCGTATACATACATCATTGTAAGCTGAACGGTGTAATAATGCTCCGATTTGGTGTTTTTTGCAGAAATGGAGCGACGGCGGATGGATCTCTGTCGTACACCTGTCACCTGCAGGCCAGCGTCTTCAAGGAACTTCCCGAACTCCGTCAAGAAGGCGTTTGCACAGTCTAACAGGTAAGGATATATAATGCTAGTATGCATGGTAATGTAATGATGCTCTCCGTCGGTATGTGCGATCTCTGTGTGGTCTCAAAATTCTCTACAATTCTTTTCTCACTTCAGGATCGGCACGCCCTGCATCCAGCACTACGCCACCAAACCTTCCATAGTCCCCGAGTCTGAAAAGGGAGGTTCTTCTTCCAAGGGCACCGGCGATTTTTCCCGACGGAAGTGTTCCTTCAGGAGGAGTTTCAGGGGCCTCCTCCGGTCGGCGGCGCGGGCGGTCGGGAAGGTCGTGCCGCTGTGCAAGGACAACATTTCGTCGACTTCTACGGACACCCTCGTGTGTGACAGATAGCGTTTCGTCTTCAAGATATTAAAAATGAATGAATGACAATCTTTTATCATGACAGTCAGTCCATTTCACGGGTTGTGAATATTTGGCTGGCAAAGAATATGCCATATTATATTGTATGCTCTTCCAATAAATCAGTCAATTGAATTTCGAATCATTAACGTACATTATTTATTTTCCGGGGATGTGCATGCGTCTTGCCTTGGTGGGAGATACTGGTACGATCATAATTTTATCACACAATTGCACGTGAATTCATTTCTATTGTAAGGTTAACCTATCTCTCTTATATGTATGTTTGTAAATGACATGACATTGTTGCATATTATGGTATCTGAATGTATGTCAAAACAAGCACATAATAATGCCAAATGCACGTGCATGGTGTCATGGCGTGCCATCATTGATGCACTGTGAGCTCACGGTCATGCAGTCATGCGTGTGATTTTGCAAAACCATGTGTGTTCGTGTAAGGTTCTCTGGGATTTATTGCTTCTGTTGTTAGAAGCTCGACCTTGAGTTAATATGAGGCGACACGATACAATCACGTTGCTTTTGATTATGTGGTTGTACTTTGGTTTGGTTAAAAAAAGGTTATGTGCATTTGTTGCTATGTGGGTCCATGTTGATGTTGGCTTTTTATATAAGCTATGAGATTCTTTTTGTTTGAGTAGCAGTTGTTGGCTTTTATATGAGAATCTTTTTGTTTTAGTAGCTGATGTTGGCTTTTATATGAGATTCATTTTGTTTTAGTATTTTGATATAGATATGGTATAGGTGCGACGTGGGTGTTGTATGCTGTAGACTATGGCCTTTGTTATGATATGGACTTTTTATTTGACTTTTTCATAGTGTTTTCAGATATGTTAATACCTTGCAATATCGTGCTCTGTGTTGCATTAACTACTAAGTTATTGTTAGAATGATGGAGCTTTTATTTTTATATGGTTGACGGAAATATCTATCAATTAGATCATAATTTTTAGTCTGTACCATTTAATAGGGTTTTAATGCAGTTACAAATATATTTCCATGTCTAATCTATGTTGTATGTTTATATGATCGGTGTTAGCTATGTTTGTATGCATGTTTAATATGCGGTAATAAGTATGGTCAAAATGTGAGTATAGATATAAATACAATTGCATATACATATAAGAATATGAATATATATGAATAGAAATATAGATATCATTGCATATACATGTATGAATATAAAGATATATGATATAGACATATATACGTACTTGCATATACATAATTACATACATACATATATCTATATCTATATCTATATCTATCTATCTATCTATCTATCTATCTATCTATCTATCTATCTATCTATCTATCTATCTATCTATCTATATATATATTATATATATATATATATATATATAATATATATATTATATATATATACGTGTGTGGTGTGTGTGTGTGTGTGTGTGTGTGTGTGTGTGTGTGTGGTACACATCCATCCATATATACATAGCTAGATGCAAACTAACACAAAACACGAAAAAAATGTTATGCTCTCACTTTCTGAACATTTGAAAAATCCTGAGAAAAGTAAAAAATATCATAGTAATAATAAATAAGGATAATAACAATAATGATAAGGATATTGATGGTAATAACAGAAATATTATTAGCAATGTTGAAGATAACTGTAATGGTAAAAATGATAATGAGGATTATCATGTCAATAATGAAAGGGTGATAACAAAACCGAAAATAGATGCCAATAGCAATGATAATGATGATATAAATGCTAATATTGACAGCAACACAGAGAATGAGAATGATAAGAATAACAGTATTAATGATTACTACAGCTGACAGACAGACAGACGCGAACATAGATACGATTGTAGATTTTATCTCTCTCTCTCTCTCTCTCTCCTCTGCTCTCTCCCCCTATACTTTTCTCTCTCTCCTCCTCTCCTCTCTCTCACCTCTCCATTCCTCCATTTCTTCTTTCTCCTATCTCTCCCCTGTTCTTGACTTTTCCCCTTCTTCCCCCCCCAAATTCCACGAACGACTCGAAGATCATCACACTTCCGATAAAGTTTATCTGGGAATCAAAGGACACCAAACAGATTACCGAAGAAGAGGCTGACCGCAAGAAGGACAGTGACTCAACTCGAGTATTGATTAATAGTCTGATATGTCAACCGCCGTGACTTACTGTATCGAATGAAGTTCCTGGTAGTCAGTAGATGGTGGATTCTCCTGAAGTTCTTTGCGCCACACTTGGGCGAATGTACCTGTGTTTGGTAGTTTTTGAGAGAGAGAGAGAGAGAGAGAGAGAGAATTAGAGAGAGACAGAAAAACAGAGAGACAGACAGACAGAGAGACAGAGTGGAAGAGATAGAGAGAAGAAATTGCGGAGAGGGGTAGGGGGGATGAGGAGAAAAGAGAGAGAGAGAGAGAAAGAGAGGAGGAAAAACTTGCTTTCTTCTCTCTCTCTCTTCTCTCTTCTCTCTCTCTCTCTCTCCTCTCTCTCTCTCTCTCTCTCTCTCTCTCTCTCTCTCTCTCTCTCTCCTCTCTCTCCTCTCTCTCTCTTTCTCTCACGCTCTCTTTCTCTCTCTCTCACTCTCTTTCCCCCCCCTCTCTCTCTCTTTCTCCCCCTCCTCTCTCTCTCTCTCCTCTCTCTTTCTCTCTCTCTCTCTCTCTCTCTCTCTCTCTCTCTCTCTCTCTCTCTCTCTCTCTCTCTCTCTCTCTCTCTCTCTCTCTCTCTCTCTCTCTCTCCTCTCTTTATCTATCTACATTATGTATATATATATATATATATATATATATATATATATATATATATATATATATATTATAATATATATATATATATATATATATATATATATATATATATATTATATATATAATATATATATATCATACACACACACACACACACACACACACACACACACACACACACACACAGACACACACACACACACACACACACACACACACACACACACACACACACACACACACACACACACAACACACACACACACACACACACACACACACACACACACACACACACACACACACACACACACACACACACACACACACACACACACACACACAACACACACACATTATATATATATATATATACATATATATATATATATATATATAACTATATACTATATATATATACATATATATATCTGTTGCGTGTGCTATTGTGTTGTGTTTGTGTGTCTGTGTATGTGCCTTGTGATGTGTGCGTATGTGTGTGTGGGTGTGTCTTTGTATTACATACCATACATATATAAATCTATATATTATATTCAATATATATATATATATATATATATACTATATATCATTTATATTCAATATATATATATATATTTATATTTATATATATATATATATTTATATATCATATCACATATACATATCTAGTCTAATAAATCTATCAATAACTGCTCATTATTTCCTCGTTTACGGAATCATCACGTCTACAGTTAGCACACACATTCTCCTCCGGCAAATATATTCTGACTCTGTCCAGCAAGACCGACAAAATAAGAGCAAGTTGTATAGAAAGAAATCGCAAGATCATTCCAATATGCAAATGTCCTCACTTGGTGTTCAGTTCTCATAGACCGTCGCTTTGAATTTTGAGAATATGTACTTTGATATTTTCGCTTTTAAGTTCACGTCAAAGGGAGGCGTTTTTACCAGAAGCAACATAACATGCTTCTTTATGTGCAATTGGTAACGAGCATTATTGGTTTGTAGATTTTACACGCCGTCTTTATCCAGTGTCCCGTGTTTCCTTCAACACAAATTGTTGTGTGGATTCTAACGCCTTCTTTATCGTGTCGATTTCAACACCATTCTTATTGTGTAGATTTTAATGCCATTTTTATTGTGTAGATTTTAACACCATCTTTATCGTGTGAATTTTAACATTATCTTCATTTGTGGATAGCTAAACACTCTGTTTATTGCCGCAAATTTGACACCATCTTGAAGCTCTTTCTCTTTCGTCCTTTCTCTCTCTCTTCGCTCGCTCTCTCTCTCTCTCTCTCTCCTCTCTCTCTTCTCTCTCTCTCTCTCTTCTCTCTCTCTCTCTCTCTCTCTCTCTCTCTCTCTCTCTCTCTCTCTCTCTTCTCTCTCTCTCTCTCTCTCTCTCTCTCTCTCTCTCTCTCTCTCTCTCCTCTCTCTCTCTCTCCTCTCTCTTCTTCTCTCTCTCTCTCTCTCTCTCTCCTCTCTCTCTCTCTCTCTATTTCTCTTCTCTCTCTTCTCTCTCTCTCTCTCTTCTCTCTCCTCTCTCTCTCTCCCTCTCTCTTCTCTCTCTCTTCTCTCTCTCTCTCTCTCTCTCTCTCTCTCCCTCCCTTCCCTCCCTCCCTCCTTCTCTCTCTCTTTATCTCTCTCTTCTCTTTCTTTCTCCACAGACACGGGCACTTCCCTATTCCGTGCCGTTTAGACTGACTCACGCTCTCGTCTTTGTGTTGTGTGTACAGAGAGAAAGGTTAAGAAAGAGAACACGTGTTGGGGGACAGTTGTGGTTTGCGCGGCATGTTTGTTCGCTGGTGAATAAACCCTGCGTGCCCACCGGATTCCAGACAGGCCGTGAGGGACCCTCGCTGTGAAGGAGTGAGTCCTCGGAGGGAGGGAGCTGGAGTAGGAGGAGCCGAGGAGGTGGAGGAGCGAGAGGTGGAGGAGCGAGGAGTGAGGGGAGGGGAGGAAGAGGCTGGCGAGGGACGACGGGAGTGCATGGAGAGTGAGTCGAGCTGAGCTGAGTCGAGGGGGAGGTCGTCCCTCTCGGAGGAGGGGGCGAGGAGGAGGATGGGGGAGGAGGGAGGAGGAGCGCATGGAAGGCGCAGCCCGACAGAGGACGCACAGAAGAATTAGAGACGGCGAGCGGGCCAACGCGCAGGCAGGCAGCGTCCGAGAATGAGAACTTCGACGGGTGCCTGAGGCGCGCGTCCGAGTGGAGGAGCGAGGAGGACGGAGGAGGCCCTTGGCCATGAGGAGGAGGAGGGGGGATGGTTGGAGGAGGAGGGGAGGAGGTTGAGGAGGGGGAGGCAGTGAGGAGGTTGGAGAGGGAGGATATAGGAGGTGGAGTGAGGCAGACGGTGACGGTGGACGGCCGAGGGGTT